AATTTGGTGTGTGCCGCCGTACAAACGGCCAGCGGGAGGGTCTTTGACGGCCGAGCAAAGGACATTCAATTATAACCTGTCAACAGTGAGCATCAGTACTAATATACTTTTGTCGTCCTCACCCAGTGTCTAGGTCCGTGTTCATTCAGAGCACTTCTTCGGCTCTATCAAGGGCCGGTTCCAATCACTGCGGGAGCTTCGCATCCCAATCCAAAGCCAGAAGGACCTCGACTATGCGAACATGTGGATCTGTTCGTGCTTCATTCTGCACAACTTAATTGTTGAAATTGAGGAAACAGAAAACCGCGAAGACTCAAACATATGCTTCTATCAGCAAACTCGGAGATTGAGGCGAGCTGACGGTGACGGAGGAGAGGATGATCAGCAACAGGGTGGCGCAGTAGGTGATCAGACTTACATTGGAACTGTGGGGCAGGATTTTCGTAACATGTTAAAGACGTGGTTGCTTTCGTCATTGGAGCGAAGGTAGTTAGTATTATATTAAATGTACTTGTACCTATACATATTCCTTTTGGCTCGCAAGGTCACGCTTGAGATTTTCTCGAGAAAGGAGCATTTTAGCGAGCTCTAGGAGGGGTCAGTAGTGCTTGAGATTTTCTCAAGAAAGGAGCGTTTTAGTGAGCTCTAGGAGGGGTCAGTAGCGCTTGAGATTTTCTCAAGAAAGGAGCGTTTTGGCGAGCTCTAGGAGGGGTCAGTTGTGCTTGAGATTTGCTCGAGAAAGGAGCGTTTTGGCAAGCTCTAGGAGGGGTCAGTTATGCTTGAGATTTGCTCGAGAAAGGAGCGTTTTAGTGAGCTCTCTGAGTTGGCACCATCGAGTACAACATGGAATGCATTTCCTGAAAACCTGTTACATGACAACATAGTGCAAACCTACTTAGTTTTGATCAAGACTGCGCTCCAAAGCAATATGACGAATTCGAGCCTCCTCCTCCTCCCGACGTGCACGAGATAGCTCAATCTCAATTCTTGCAAATTCCATCTGTTGAGTCATCCTCTCCTGCTGGTGCTGATGATCTTGGTCAGATAGACGCATTGCATGCTCCCGCTCATCACGAGCACTGCGGGCCTTGAGATCACGAGCCCAAATTTCGGTCTCAAGTTTCATGCGTTTATAGCGTTCGTGCTCCACACGATCCTCACGTTTGCTGTTAAGGTGCGTCATTATGGAATCTGCCGTCTGAGACATCCTATCTGCAGCGGCAGAGGTCTGATCGAGAGTGCTGCCACCAGGGCGTTTGCGTGATGAAGAGGGGGGGCGACTAGATTGAGGCGAAGCACTCTGAGTAGGTGCACGTGCACGAGACTGCTTTGTAGAAAGAGAGGGTGAACTTGCGTGACTTCCTTTGAGTGAGCTGACACGAAGAGACTGCAGCGCTCGGCTAGCACCAATGTCCGAATCTTCCGAGTCAATAGGTGTGGATTGAGGGCTAGCTGATGACTCCTTGAAATCAGAAAAGAAAGGTGAATTGTGGGTGGTGCTTTGATTGGGTACCGGTGAGCGCTCAGGAGAGTTCAGCGATATCACGCCATGTGTGTTGGAAGTTGTGATGGGAGGAGGTTGGGGTCGTTGGTACCAGTGTGGTAATGGAGCGAGTGAGAATGAGTTGGGCGTGTCGCTAGGACCATGGTCCGAAAATAACAGCGGGGATGGTGCTGACAATGGTGATTCGAATGACTCCATGGAGGGGGGCTGGTCAACCATCATATCATCTGGTGCATCTATAATGCCAGCATCACCTGTAGTATGAGCGCTGATCTCAACTATTTCTCCGTCCTCGGCATCCTCATCTGTGTGAGTGTCATCGTCGCCTGCAGCCGGTGCTTGTGGTTGCTTTGAGATAGCGAAATGTTCTAATGCAGCGGACGCAAAATCTTGCCCTGTATCCGCTGTAGAGAAGGCGTAATTGAAAGCTGGGTTTGTGCGCCACCAGCCATGAAGCTCAGGCCACCAGGGAAATTTTTCGAGCTTTGTATCTAACAGAGATACGATTAAGACATGTGCAGTTCAACAGCGGCTAAAACTTACCAATCAACGACTTCATCATTGGATCCTCTTGCAGCTCTGCATATGTCTTTCCGGCTCCTGACTGCTTGAGCTCCTTGTTGAACTTGTTATATTTTTTCTTGAGCCTAAAACATCTGATCAGTGATTCTAGTGGGAGGAGAAACAATGCAGGAACGGGATACATACGTGCCGAAACGAGTTGAAACTGGTTTGATAAATGCCTTTGGGTCCTCCTTGAAAAGTCGTTGGACCTCCGGATCCTCGTCATTCGAAAATACGGCTTGTGCGACCTGTGAATAAAAGGTATCTCTCGAAGTTCTGCTCTGTTTCTTCTTCCGACCTTGCTCCTTCGCATCCTTTGCGGAATCGGAGAACAGCTTGATCCGTGCGTCTTCGTTTTCCTTGCACCAGGCAAGGAGACGTTCCGTACGAGCGCTACGAACCCCCTCCCAATGAATAGTGCATTTCTTCCCAGTGTCTGTACTGGCGGACACACCAGCTCGAACTCCACCACCTCGACCTCTCTGTCCAGAGCGTGACATGATTCAGGGCGTTTATTACGACAACGATTGGTGATCGGATTGAATCTTTGGCACCATCGACGCCAGTAATGACGATGTCGAGTGACAGGGCAGGGCGGAGTTTGAACATGCCGTACCGGCAACGCAAAATCTTGCTGTGAATTTTTTTCTACGTTCGACTTTGAGAACCATTAATCCTAGCTAATTAGCCAACGCAAAAAACACTCATTCCCATACCTCCGGACACTCGTCATCGCTTCCATTGATATCCTCAGCCTCCGCCTTGCCCTTCCCTGTGCTGTCCACATTAGATCGCAATTCTGCCAACACTGCCAACAAACCATCCGCACTCAGATCTACCTCAGATTCAATGTCGAAGTCGGCGTTTGTCACCATGGCTGCCGCAGAACTCGTTTGCACATGATCCAACCACGTACTGGACTCGTCGTCTTCAATTTCTTCACCTCCTTCAATACTTTCGGCTGATAGCAAGCTGTTCTTCGCATCATGATGCTGTTTACCCTCTTTTTCTTCGGATCCAAAGTTCCAAACAGCTCGGTGTCATCTATGGTAACTAGTCGATCATCTGTCAGTGGTAGAAGCTAGCCGGTCGACTCAGAATACTATTCCTGACCTGATCGCTCGATATCTGAGGCACAGTCAGCTGTAGGGAGTTATTAGCATTATTAGCCTCGTGATTTTTGCGACGAGTTATTAGCGTGTTAATAGCTAGTTATTAACATGCTAATTAGCATGCGGCTAATAAGCAGGGATTTTTCTCCTGAACCCTACTTCTCTTACTGTGCACACTATTGTGTAATTGTGTCTGACAGCGTTGCACGTCCCCATAGTCTGAGTAGTACTATGACATGATCGTCATTCTAAGTAGCAACATGATGGCGGCATGGCATCAACCTCATCTGTATGTCTATAAATAGGTTAAACAGAAACCAAGCGGAAGAGGATCATTAGAGTACTAGTAGCTAATAGATAAACTGACATAAAATACTCGACCAAAACTCATGCGCATCTGTTGTCCTCTGAACACGCTCGATCTCTTTCAAATGGATGGAAGCAGGATGCAAATGTTTTATGGAAGATATCTCAACTTAAACCTAGTTTGTGATTACCATGAAGAACGTGGCATCAAATTAGAAGTAGTATGACCGAACCTCGGGATCAAGTCATCTGCAAAACGACTGAAATGAACGCTTACAGCCATTTGCAGAATGCTACAGTGTATGTCACTAAGGGACAGCAACTCTCCCCAGGCCGCAATTTTGATCCATATGTGCTTAAATTGAAATTTTGATAGGAAACTTAGACAAAAGGAGCGTAAATCTAAATTTCCGAAATTTCGCCTGATTACGTAATTGTTCACTTTTGCTGTAGAATGCCTCCTCCTACCAAAAGACAGAAGCAAGCGAAGCAGCAGTATGCTTCATCATCGAGGTGCTTTGACAATGGGCTGATAGAAGATGTTTTTGAAGTCTTTCTGGACCCAGATTATGTGCCTGTCTCAGATGCCGAAAGTGAAGCAGACTCCGAGTCCGACTTTAATGGAGCATTGTCATTCAGTCTCATAGATGGCAATATAGGAGAGGTATCAGATAATGAAAGCGAGTTGGATGATGAAGCAGCTATGGAGATTGTGGTCAAGGCTGAAGAGACAGTGGATTATGCAGAGGGGTGTGCACGGAGGGCAGCAGTATCTGCTCAAAAATTCTGGGCGAACATTATGAGTTCAGTGAGTAATATCAATCAGTGCACTGATATACATCGAAAATTTGATCAGGATGTGTTTTCAGGGGACACGAAGCCAGTGAAACTGCCCAAACGCTCGATGCCAACATACAGTGGCACAGCATGAACATCTACCTATCTTCGAAAGAGAAAAATGAGAGAGGGTGCAAAAAACAATATGACAATCACCTCTTTCTGGGCCCGTCGACTAATCACGGAGTCGGCCGTCAGATGCCGCATACCCAAATAGGAAACTCCGACATGCTCCGCTCGAAATTCACTTTTGGCTAGCGAAAATTTTGAAACTTAAGTTTTTTGAAAAAGTATTCTGATAGACTTACTATACTACTCTAACATAGCACATTTGTTAGGTTTTTGAAACGAACGAGGTATTTCTGAGGGTGTAGATAGAATTACAAGTTTTGATGTTGGTAGTTGCCGCTTTTGAGTGACATACACTGTAGGCCAAAATTTTCTCACTACATACATTCGGCAATAAGTCGGGACAACAAACTTTGCGCCCCGACCATAGCTCCAATAGGAAATGTGTGAACGGTTGTGCGCAAAAGCCAAACAAAGCCACCGATGCGAAGCGTGATGCTTCCCTTCATACAATGGGACGATACATATCCAATGAACGAAAACAAGTTGCTCTAGTACAAATGAGCTTGCTAAATGTCAAGGACCCAACAATTTGTCGTTACACTGGGATTAGTGAGCGGTCATTGCGATATCTTCGGAAGGTGTATCGGGAGACTGGCGAAGTTGTGAGGACACCAGTTTGTGCAGGTCGACCCCGCATCCTAGATAGTCTCGATGCAAACGTGAGTTATTACTTATTCTCAGTACTACTTATATGTTATCTCTCAGTTCCTTGAGGCATGTATCGAACGACAACCAGATATCTACCTCACTGAGATGCAAGATCAACTGCGGGAGACTTGTAGTGTCAAAGTTTCGATTGCAACAATTTCCAGAACAATATGTAGGCGAGGGTTTACATGGAAGAAGGTATGTCATCACTCATGTCCTTATTGATATGTTTGATTCAATACAGTACTATCTAGGTTACACGCCCTTCTGTCGAACATGATGAAGATGACCGAGCTGCCTATAAGATGCTTGTGGGGGTGCATTTCTGGCCGGAGCACCTTGTATTTGCAGACGAGTATAATTTCAACAGGGTTTTGTTTCGCCGTGATTTTGCTTGGGCTCCTATTGGAAAGCGCACGCGATGGCGGGATTTTTTCATATGTGGCAAAAGGTACTTTTGCAGAAACTTTCTCATCAGTGCCTTGACATTTTGTTAGATATTCAATTCTTCCGGCTCTGTCACTTGATGGTATCCTCCACTTGGAGGTTTTAGATCATTCGTTCTCTGGTGAAGAATTCACGGATTTCGTTGCTGGTGTACTGGACCAAATGCAGCCCTGGCCCATGCCAAACTCGGTGTTGGTCATGGACAATGCAAGTATCCATAAAGTTCAAGGTATTCGTGAGATGGTTGAAGAGCGGTACATTATCCTTATTTCCTGCTCAAACGATACTGATTTCCCTTTTTTTTTTGTAGTGGCATGCAGCTCCTGTACTTGCCCTCTTACTCACCTGATTTAAATCCTATCGAGGAGGCATTTTCAGCTATCAAGGCATGGCTTCGGTCAAACTGCGACTATGTACTTGGGGAAACTGAGGGTCCAGCTTGTGATCCATACACATTGATATGGGAAGCTGTATATGGTGTTGTCACGAGCGAAAAGGCTTATGGCTGGTACAAGCATAGTGAATACATTGCGTAGAGAGTGCACTTTTTATTGATTTTGTGCAAGTACCTGGTGGGCGTGTTGAAACTACCAGCAGTGCTATTTTACTAAGTGATTAGTTTGTATCGCTGATTCACAACTTAGGTCAGGAATTCTCCACCCCCCTCCATTGTTACGCACTCAAATAGATCTGTTATGCGGAGCCCTAAGAGGGGTGTCGTCCGCTAACGTTCGTGACGTAACCGGAAGGGTCCGGTATAGCGACTGAGACTGGTGACGACGAGTCGGCAGATATCAGAGACGCGCGTGTCACGTGACTTCTAAGACGGATGTCTTCGAAGTTACTGACGTTCTCAAGGTAAGGACAGTCTTGTCCAAACAATGAGTAGTCGATTGAGGTAGACTTGGGCGCGATGAGCACCTAAGAAATGATACTAGAGACTGAAGCTGAGGGGGCTTCAGAGGGAAGTATGTTCCAGGGAAGATTGAGTAGATTCAAGTTAGGGAATCTAGTACAGGGTGACCGACTACTTATACTAAGTGGAAAGGGTTAAGGGCAAGGCTACCGTACTGTGGGTAAGGGCAAAGGGGAGAACGGAAAGGGTATAGGTACACTGGTAGCAGAGCCTGATTAGTGATGTGAGGTCGAATGCGGAATGAGACCGAGAAATGTTGGAACGAGCCAACGGTAAGTGATACAATGCGCAGCACGCATGAGTCAGAGGAAAGATAAGACAAGATAAGGAAAGCCACATTGGTGGCACGAGTCAGAACAAGTCATAGCCTGAGGGCACGTGCGCACGTTGGTGCGACAGGAGGGGGACGAGGGATGGGAATGGTCCCGAGGATCCGGTCAACGGATAGTCGGTAGAGAAGTATGAGCCGGAGGCATACGAGGGCGAGGATGAAGGGGAAAAATGATAGGGGGGCCATGTAGCCGATGTTACTTGTAACATCCATCTTGTCATCACTCTCATACTCACTGTACTCGCCGCTTCCATACTCCAATTCTCCTTCCTGCCACAAATCATCTTCAATCTCAATAGCACGCTCCTTCCCTTTGTTCTGAGTCCCTGCACTAAAAGCCTCTGGCTCCTCTATCTCTGGCTCCTCATACGAACTGATGAGTCCAAGGAGCGGCAGAACGATCTGTTTAGTGTAATTGTGGAGTATTCTGGCCTGCTTTTGCCCCATATTGCCAATGACACTCAACACATCCTCAGGTAAGAGCATTACTTGGCTCAACAAAACCACCCCTGCATCTAGCAGGGATGTTTCAAGCTCACAAATTCGCAGTTCTGGTTTTTCGGCATCGATCAGCGCAAGCAACACCCCAATTTTTGGGTAGTCTGACAGTGTTGTGTTAGGGATCTGGGGCACAGACTCGAAGGGGCACTGTTGTGGAAGCGGTGGAGGACTAGGAGTCTCTGATGTGGGGATCTGCATCTGGGATGCAGAGGCTATGGTAGGTTCAGCCGTTATATTTTGTATGGTGACATGGACTTCAGGTGATGATCCCGACCTTGAGTGACGAGGTTTTTTGTTGGCTGGGCCACAGTCAAAATTGAGGCAGTGAGGTGGGTTGTAAATTGTTGCGTGACCGAGAGCCTAAAAGGTTTTTTTTTTCTGCATGCATGGACATGAAAGTAACTTGCAATTTTTTTAGCCCAGAGAGTCATCTCAGCGTGATTGAGACGACAATGGTTATCATAGCCCACTGGTGCGATCTATGAAACAATGGCCACGGTGAAGCTCACATCAAATGTGGCACTCAAGCTGTTTGTACACTTTGAGCTGTGTGGAATCCTCCTCGGTCACTGGGGGAATATCGTCTTCATGCATCCTCTTTTTCGCTTTGGTGGTAGTCTGTTTGGCCTTGGAGTAACTGTAAGTAATTTTCGATTGATGTGACATGAATAATCACTTACTGCTGCGTTTTTTACCTCTAAAGCAACGACTTGTGTACGCGCATTGGACGCTTTGTGACAAAGTCGATCCATAGCAATACCAAATGCTTCTGCATCGTTTAGGTGAGAAGCTTTACTGTTATCACCCACAAACTTATACACAAGCTGGACTTCTTCAGGAGCATCGAGGTATGCAAGAACATGACTTTTGAAGTCATCCCAAGGCATGTCAGTCTCACCATGAAATCCATGCTTCATGTCACCCATAATAATGTCAATGTCGAAACTAAAAACTCCAGGGTGCGGTTCAGGGTTTGGTCGCAGTCTCACTGATACTTGGGACGATGCTGGGGCTTTTGATGATGCCTGGGACAGTTCTGGGGTTGGAGGGTACTCTGGAGCTGGAACTTCTGGTTGCATCCTCATCGGTCGCATTGGAAGATACTGTTGGTATGGAGGCTGATGAATGAAGTGTGGTGGATAATACTGATGCTGCAAAGGTGGCGGATAGTGCTGCGGTACGTGCGGCATTTGCAGATAATGTTGTATGAAAGGTTGCTGATGATGTGCTGGCAGCTGTGGATACTGATGATGATACTGATGCAGGTTGTGAATATTGCCTGTGCCAGACTGGCTTGGAGGGATACTTGACATAGTAAGTGAGGATGGGCAAGTGAGGATGGGCTTGTGGTTCTTATAGTTTTTTTTCACAGTATTACATGATAATATTTATATATCCATATGCCTGCAGCACACCGTCCATCGGGACAAAAAATGGTTGCTATTTTTTATGAGTCGATCTTACTGTCGGGTTCCAAGTGCACAGACCATGCTTGATAATATATACGTGTCTGTATGAATTACCTAATCACTCATCTTCTTCAATAATGCCCAAGTCGACACCCGTAACTCCCCCAACAAGAGGCCTTGTCCTCCCCTCTCCCACCTCTCCATCCAAAGCCTCTTTTTCTTATAAGATGACAGTGGGTAGTGAAGTCTCTGATGATACACTGAAACTGTGCGCCGATTTGTTCAGTTCCAACTATGGTATTTGGGGCGATCAGGCAGCTACAATCTCCAAATTTACTGTAGCTGGTGAGTAATTGATATGTTGATCATTGGCCATCGCTGAATTATTTACACAGAGAAAAAGGTCAAGATGACTGGTGCAAGACTACGATCCCAATGTTTGTCTCACCTGGAGAGTAGTGTTTTGGTAACCTGTTACATCCAAGTTGGCCCACTTGAGAGTGAGCATCCTCAACTTTATGGACACACATTTTCCACAGTCTGGGACTATGGTGAAAACAAAGGTAGCTATCTCAATTTATTGCAAAGCTCACCTTCTGACTTTGTTAAGTTGGCTGGGTGACGCAGCTTGTCGTCGATGCAGCAGTCCGTCAGCGTTACATTGCAACCCATCTCTTGCAAACTCTGAAGTGTCATTCATTATTTTCCCATGTTAACATTGTTGGTCTTGTCTTGTCTCACCCTGCTGCTTGCAATGCTTTGGTGAAATATGCTTGTGAGTCATCACCCTAGTCCCTCACTATTCACATATTATAACTAAAATTACGAAGCTGCTAATATCAAGGACATTGAATTGGACTTCATCCGTCAACATGCAAAGGGCATCCTGGCATCTTCCCCCATTACCTATCTGCAGGCCGCTCAATTGAGTGGTTCACTCTTCCAAGACAGCAGCACCAGTGATGCCATATCATCTGTGTTTACTGAGTTCTACGTTGACCATACTGAGCCTTTAACAGTGTTGGAACAGTACAAGAAGAAAGGTCAGTGGTGCTTGGGTGAGCTCCTTGGCGGACATGAATTTCTCGCTGTTTTTCCTATTGCACCTGTGAGCCCAGTTCACAATTATTAGCATACCCTACATATTTGATCAGAGAGTAGAAGTTAAAATACTGCTGTGAATGTAGTGAAAAAATTTTAGCTTAGCATTCTGCAAATGGCTGTAACTTACGCGCGTTACGAACACTTACGAACACTTACAACTTCAGTAGCGAACTCAGGCGATTGGTGGAGATGCTGAACACCAATATAACACACCATATCTGGCTGATAAAACTCAAGCCAGTTGTTTTTCCGTTGATAAGATGTGATTTGTGATATGATAGATGCCGATAACAATAGATACAATTGCTGCGTACTGATTAAGCTACTGTCTATACAAACTCGGTACTGAATGTGTGATAACTCTCCTTGTCTGCGAAGTTATTCAGGAAAAAATGATCATAGCATTCCAAAGAAGTCGCAGAGGACACGCTATTGGCCACTGCCTCACCATAAACTGGTATCAACTCAACCGCATGCATCACATCTGTCACTCGTATGACAGCCCCCTTCCTACAGCGATTACCGTTTTCCTCCTGCGTGTATGTGCGCTCCACAGTCCACATTGCGAGTTCAGGATGATCATCAGGGCTGGAAATGAAGTGGAAAAGTTGGACATAGAGAAGTGGGTCTGAGAGACACAATGGTAGTTCCAGGTTGGAACCTCATCGAACCATCAGTTGAAAAATGAGTCGAACCTGCACGATGCAACTTGCTGTATATGATATCAGTAGGCTACAATGTAAGTACATAAAAGACATACTGGTTTTGCCATCAATGCCTGTGGTGTCCACGAGAACAGTATCACAATTTCCAAAGGGAAAATCATCACTTGGTGGGTACGCTTGCACCATGCGACTCGGCATGATGACTCGTGGCTGGAAGGCCAAGTGAAGTTGCAACCAGAATTTGTGCCATACCTGGAAGCGCCCATACTTGGGGTCCCAGCAAGAATTTTCACCACTAGAAAGGGGGGAACAACAAATGAATTCGGCGAGTGCATGCTCAAAGCCAAAGAGTGCATATTTCATGCGTATGTCAGATGGTGATAGTGATTTGTAATTGGGCGTGACATTGAGTTGAAAAGCGGTGAGCACATCTCTGGAGAGGATACCTTTGAGAAAGTGATTACGGACAGGTCAGGGACCATGAATTGACTTGACTTCATCAGGGAGAACCCGGGAAACCCAGGAGAGTGCAGGACTGGCAATAGTGACATCTTCATCTTCGGCATGTATGGTGTTAACCAGTGACGCCCCACGAGAAGTCAATAGCATGTACAGGTCAAAAATTTCCATAGACTCTTGGCGGTTGAGAATGCACACACATTGCTCCATAAAATCCTTGATTTGCTGGGACGTCCACGGGAAAAGGTTCTTACAATGTGTGATGAGCAATCGCTCTGTCATGTCTGCAGAGAACTGCATCAAAGTCCCTAATTTCCTAATCGTACCATCAAAACTTTGGAGAAGCTCAAGTTTCAGAATGAAAAAATCTTCTTTGATACCCTTCTTCCCCTTCCTTGCCTCGGCCCAGATGATAGTGTCCTTGAAAGAGTGGAAATCCGAAAGGGCCTGCACCAATGACTGAAGAGATTGAGGTGAGTGAACAGGATTCTGTGTGAGGTAAAAGAAGTCCACAAGTGAACAGATTGCATGGACAAATCTGGGTGGAACAGCTCCTGCAATTGACGCAACGATAGTGCGTTGGATGTCTCTATGCTCTCAGCCTGTCATTTGATTAACATGTGTGATGCCTTTCGTGAAATGGCGTGTTCCGACCCGCTTATGCTGGACCATGAAGCAAGTATCGAGCTCATAATCTCCCAGAGCCTCTTTGATCCATTCTAGTGGATGATCTGCGAAAAACTTATGACACATGTGCAGCACCTCGCCAGCAAGGAAGACCGACGGACATGCAAACTTCCAATCACGCCAGTACGGCATGTGAACACCAGACAAATTGATGGCTTTGGCCGCTTTCTGGAACTTGTCCAGATCCCAGAAATCAACATTTTGGGATATCCCCACAATGAGTTTCAATGTGTGGCTCCCGGTATGAGGGGGGTGGAGAATTCCGTCACCGAAATCTGCTTGTATTGCCATGGTTAGCGGGGACGAGTTTTTACTGACTGCAGCGATCATAGTAGCCTCCGGCAGGTCGCACATGTGAGCGACGAGTGGCGTGAATACATGGTGAATGTAGCGGGAGGGATCGGGCATGAAACAGCCATCATTTGCTGCGACCTTGAGGTTTGCAAAAACGAGGTCCATGCATTTATGCCATAGTCTGGTCTGGAGAATGGACTGGTATTCTTGATGAACGTGGAACTTCACAACCGGAATGTAGGCTACGCAGCGCCAAGCTCGTAATGTCGCCTTGGAATGGACCTCAGAATCAATATTACCGATGGTGACGAAGACCGGGTGCATCTCGATTCCCCCGGCAAGTCACATCACAGGAGTTTTATCTGATCCCAAGATAATTGGGACTTGAGTCGCACCCAACAGGAGATAGTCCTAGAAATAAAGAAATCAGTCTATTACTCAGTGAGGCATAGATTAACAGGGCAAAAAACCTGGATTTTCCATGCCATATTGGCACTCATGTAATCCCCATATTCACGCTGATTTTTGACGTTGGCGACATAGGGGTTAAAGGTCATGTGGTTAGCAAACGTTGGGTCACTAAAGAGTTGCTGGACGACCTTTGTGCATCACGCCAAACGAGCTCCACAGGATGGACAGTCTTATAGCCTTTGAACTCTAACTTGGAGACTTTCCATGGGGTAAAAGAAGGGAGCAAGTCCATCCAGTCTAGGAGGTGATCCTTCATGGTAAAAGATGGTCTTGCACGATTCGGAGCGTCAAACTGTGAAATCAAGATCAGAGTTGGGAGTACAGCTTAGATCGTTGTTTCTCGTTACCCATTTCAACTTCAAGAACTTCATAATTTGGGTTTGGGTAAGGTTTTCAACCAAGAATTTCCCCAATTCCCATTCACCTTGGTCAGTGAAAGGGTAATAAGGATTTATCAACCGCCAATGCGCAAATTGATCATTTTCTAACTTATCCAGCATGTTTCTACCGATCCCATAGACATATCCGGATTGTGGGTGGCAGGTACCAGTGACGTGTGTCTGACCACCTTGATTGAGTATAGAAGGGACAGGTAAAGCTTGTGGTTGTGTATCGGAAGGCCAGCAAGTAGACGGAGCATTGAGATGTGAAATAAGAGCCTCAATGGATGAATATTCCCCCAATTTGCAGTTGGGACATAGCCTGCCAAAGGTATGTGCGGTATCTTGAAGTGAGCAATGGGAGTACTTACATTATAGCGTAGACTTGGCTTTGACTCAAGTGTGCCAGATGTTGGCAGACTTGCAGGATTGCACAAGGCTGGGATTCAAACTCCGAGGACCTCACATTTCACAGCGCACAGTCATCGCGCCAAGCCAATGGAGTTTGCATCTTCATCACCAGTCTCATCTCCTCCTCGACCAAGCAGTCCTGCTTTTACCAGTACTACATCAAGTAGTGCAACGCATGTTGAATTAACCCCCTTGAAATTTTTCAAGAAGGTCAACTACCCTGAGTCACCCTATACAATGGCTACTGAGCTCTTATCTGGCTCTGACCATTCATTTTCTCCCAAGCTATCCCCCTCCCTTTCAGGTTCTCCAAAGGCTTACCTATCCCCAGTGGAAGAGATCCCATGTCTTCCTGATGTAAAGGAGAGCTTATTGTACAAGCCTAACCTCTTTCAATTGCCAAAGTCACCTTCCCGGGCAGCACACTTGCGTGAGAGATCATCCAAGAGGCCTATTCCATACCCTTCTAGGCAACTTCCACTTGATATTTGATTGACAACCCACATCGCAGGACGAGGACGTGAACCAGACTTTACCACTGAACAACTTCAAGAGGTATTTGTCATTTTCTTTGTCTCAGTCCGTTCTTACATGATACATTTAAAAGCACGAGGATGTGATATCTAATGGTCTCTCACAGATGAACATTGACACATTGTACAAAGCCTTTAAGGCAGTACTTGCTAGCCGCGAGGTTACTCGCCTTCAAGTGGCAACATCCCTATGGCAGGTTGAGTGTGCAGAGCATATGACAGCCTTAAATCAGGCACTCCACCAGGAGAACAGAGCCCGCCTCAACACGAAGGATGAGCAGCTGAAGAAGATCAGAAATTTCTTTTCTGAGCCCCGTCGTGCAGAAACTGATGATGACACAAATTACCCTCAAGCTGTCTATGACGATGAGTGCGAAATGCTTCGTGCCATCACTGCCCAAGCAGACTTGGTCTCAAGATGCCTGGGTTCAGGTGCCAGGCATGAATTACTGGCATCTACCGGCAAGGGCCCCTACCTACCTCGTTTTGTTGGTACTCTTAAAAATAGGGACAGCATTACACATGCGCTGGGGGGTGGTTGTACGGACGCTGGTACTGATATGGACTCTGATTCCAATTCCGATTCCAAACATGGAGAAGATGATGATGATCACAGCGGGCAGCCAGGCCAGCAGTGCTCGTCCGGCATGCAGTTGTGACTGCCCATGTGGTACGTGACTGCCCACTTATTCACGCTGCTCACACTGATTGATATCAGTGACAATCAAGTCACTGTTCATAGATCGCTATCAACTGGTACCGCTTTGCTTCGCCCATTTTTCGCCTGCTCATAACTGGCTTCGACCATTCATAAACACGCTTCGACCGTTCAATATCGTGCTTCGCCCACCCTGGCCATTCATACATCTTTTTCTCCCGTTCATAGATCATCTTATCATGCCACACCCCTACCCTCTTTTTACCTTTTGGTAGTAAATGTTTTGCCTTGTTCGTAAATCACCTTATCATCCTGCCATGCGTTCCCGGTTTTGTAAAGTTCGTGTAAAGTTCCCTTGTATGTACTATTACATCAATTCGCAAGTTAAATGCACACATACATTCTCACATCCTTACCCCCAACCTTGAATGCCTAGCAGTCGTGGTCCCCAGCGAAAGAGTAAAGCCAAAGTCCCAAAACCACCGCGAGGCTCTGGCCTCAATCCTTCGGGTGAACCAGCAATCAATCAGCTTTGCATTCCTACTGAACAACCGCAGATGTCGTATTTTGCTTTTGATGCGCATGAGACCATTCGTAAGTTTCTTATATCTTTCGTCACTCTTTGCTTAACGTTTCACAGCCCAACATGGGCACTACAGCGGCACACAGAGCACCGGCTTTGATGATCAATCTACCTGTAAGTTCTTATGTTTTTCCTTTCGTCACTCTTTGCTTAACGTCTCACAGCCCAACATGGGCACTCTTACAGCAGCACACAGAGTGTCGGTGAAGGTACAACAATTCAGATGGTGAGTCTGAACAATGTGTTGGGTCTTGCAGAACCTAGCTGCTATTCGACCCTAAAGGGTTTCTGGACCAGGCTCAAGGCTCAGAGGAGAGGAAATATCATAGAAAACTACTGAGCACTCAGACTCATACTGGTAACTGGTGAAAAGATTGATTGCTTATGTAAGCTACAAAAGTGCCAACATAAGGTAAGGTAAAAACAGTCTCTACAAGCCCAGCCAGAAATGAATCCCTACATCGGCTTTGATGATCAGTCCACCTGGGACTTCTTTCAGAACCAACCATCCTTAGAAGCACCCCCACAGGGCTCATATCCCGAACACTACTCGCAAGATTTGTTCCAGGGTCCTACAGGTAGCGCGGCCAGCATGAGCATGTTGGATACAACGCTCATCCAACAAGGTGAGATCCCTCAAACAGATGTCATGCATGTAAGTCGTTTATTCTTCTATCTATCTAATACTCATACTATCCTTTTCATCTAGACAGCAGGCCCGGCAAGACTCGCAAAGAGACGAGGCGGTCAACGGCTGATGCCACCAACACCACGAATGGCTCCCTACCCCACAACCCGCCCACAGACGACTGAAAGCTTGACGTCACAGATTGCGATGTCATCAACACATGCTGATCCCACTCCCACTACTATCATAGTCCCTGATCCCACCATTGGCCAGACAATGAAGGGCGTGATGAAACTCGTCACACGCAAACTATTTACCCTGAATGTGATGACCATCGACAAAGCCCCAAAGAAAGCTATGCTTACAAAGGTCATTCATGACTCGTTGCCGCAGTGTTTCGGTCCTAACAGTAAGTTTTGTGTGTGGATTGTTAGACTTGTACTTACACATTCTTTTAGCAACGATCCAAAACTTCATAACCAGCAAACATCAGAGCAAGGTCGCAAACACGTTGTCAGTAACTTGCGGGAAGGTAGTCGAGTTTGCGCGTATGGGCGCCTTCCACGCCTATCAACTGTTTCCCCCGTTACACAGTACCACACCCCCTGTCATCTATCGTAAACGAGTGATCGACAAGATCACATTGGAGGGCAACAGACTCATGTTCATGCACATTTACACATTCAACCAGGTACAGCTTCATTTTACCTGTTGTGGGAGACTAACTTAATCTTTTCAGGATGGTAGGATTGAAATCAAGGCAAAATTCCAACATCCCTTCATAATGTCCAATGTCATTCGATTCGTTTGGTTCGGCTTGCGCCAGCAATTCCTCGGTGAGACAGAGGAAGAACAACTGGAAAGGTTGAAATACATCTGGGCACTCTCTGGCGGCGGTGCTGCTGTGGTCTGGTTTGGTCTGGTTCAGAGGCAGTTTGACAAGAACCGAGAACCGGACCAAGGTCCGGTTCTACCTTTCTCGACGAACCTTGGACCAAACCTTTGCAAACAGTTTGCAGCGGTCAGGTTTGGTTTTTTTTAGGTTCGAATGTGAACCGGTGTAGAGAATCATGCCTCTCATGGCGTGATATAGCAGTTTCCACTAAGGGAGTATACAGCACCAACTCGCAGCACCACTCTGTATACTGTCCACAGCAATTCCTATATGAGGCGCAGCTTTCCCGCGCAACGCGCGCCATGCGCGCACCATTCCCGCGCTTGCGCACCCTATAGCGCCAGCCATCCAGATGCATCCATCCACTGTCCACCAAGCTCCCTAGTGCATATATTTCCATTTCCTTTATTAGCATAGTGTTCCACCTTTATTTTTATCATGGACTCTCACCCATATATATCCTTACATACCTACTCGGTAGCGCTTCGGCTCCGCATGACCGCACTTAGGCGCGCTATATAAGCACCAGCAGTACATACTATTACGGACTTACTTTTCACCTTAACTTACTTTTCCTACCAGTCACTTACTACTTAGCAGAGTATAGTAGAAATCTATTTGTCCACACTTTGCATCTCTCTTCTCCTACCTTGCATCATATTATCACTTAAGCTTAGTCTTTATCAATTTCCGCATACCCGCACGCGCTTCGCGCTTATACACGCGCGTGTTCCCGTGCCTTGCGCGCACCTGCGCTTTCTTGCACTTCACTGAGGCGCATACCTCTAGAACTTTGCTGTACTCGCTTCCCCTTTAGGGTCGAACGCACTTGTCTCCTCAAGTAATGCAGACTAGGCAACACGCGACCTTTCAACATTTATAGATACTGTCAGGAGCATCATTTGTTCCTAGCAGTATTGTTGTTTCTACACCGGACCCAATTTTTTTAATAGCTAGCAAAAAAAAACATAGTCGAAGTACTTGTACTGATAGCTACATATTCAATGAAGCTGCATGTCCCATACTCCTCTGTGTTGAGTAAGACAGGCTGGTGATGGCAGCAATGAAAACTTCTCTCCTCCCACCAGCTGACTGGTGTGTTTCTGTTGGTTGTGCTTGAGGTCCCTGTGTTTGTATGTCACATAGCTGCAGCCGCTTCACTTCCGCTTCTGCACCAATTTCAGGAACAATGCCATATCTCTGCAGTGTATTTTAATAGAATGAAATTGGAGAGATGACGAGTGACTCACATTTTCATCTTGAGCAAGAGGTACGTCGATGGTTGTCGGTGCACATGGAATGTCCTCCAGAAACAACTTGAGGTTGAAATTCCAATGTTGGGACTGTCATTTGATTGGTTGGGATGCATTTAGAGGCCGTGTGCCAAAATGTGTGGAACTGAGCAAACAACGCCGACAAATGAGGCACAATGGGCTTGTGGGAGGAGCTGCACAATGAGACGCGTGGTTTGATTCATTGGGGAGTTGAGCATTTTTCATAGTGGTCGACGATGATTGGTTTGATTTCACCAAGATCAAGAATTTGTTGATCAATTGTCAGATGGACCTGATTGAGGACAGTGCTGAGTGCCCAACAAAGAACATATAAGTCCCCCATCCAGAGTCGAGTCTACATGTGCAACGTACCTAAATTCAGACCAGTGCAAACACAACCAGTCTCCACCATGTGCATTGGAGAATCCTGGAAGATATATCAAAGTAATATATCAGTTAGTTTATGAGCTTGATTGACGATTAAATGGTACCTTGAGCTTGATTGGACAACTGGGAGCACGAAATGCGAGTGTCCGGACAGAATTGAAAGTTAATGCAGATGTTGAGGATCCCAGAAGTCGAAGTACCCATGAGTGCGGAAGAGAAGTTACCAGCTTTGCTGATATCTCGAGGAAGTTTCGGTTCACGGTTCGGAACGGTTCAGGAAGGTCTGAACCCATGACTGAACCGTCCCAGGAACAACGAACCGTGAACCTCATTTCGGTTCGATCCGGCCAAAATGGGGAACCATGGACTGAACCATGGACGAACCTGACCATTGGTCAGGTTCGAACCACAGTTCGGAACCGGACCACGGCAGCACTATCTGGTGCTGCAACTTTCTGCAGCTTGGATGAACAATCCGAGGTTCCTGTGCAGGTTGATCCCTTCGGGGGGATGTCAGGCAACCGGAAGTTTCTCACTATTGTGAAAGTGATGGACGACTTGACAGATGATGAGAAGGCAGAATTTGGTAGGTTTTTGCTGTATGTGTTGCTAATTGGACCGACGCAAGCACCATCCTCGTAGATATGTTTTACTTTTATGCTGGTTTCAAATGGTTTCAATCTTTGTACGACTAGATAACGCACATATCACACTGATAATCTCGCATCGCATTGATGATATCACATCATTTTCAAATCTAAATTTTGTGAAACTTAAGTCAGGGTCCTCACATAACCAAAACCAGGTATTTACGAACTGAATTGTAGTCTAACCAAAACGGAAACTGTCAGAAAAGTCTTGCAACGAGTTTTAGACTACATTTTCGTAAAGTTGGATTTTTAGATGAAGCTTCAAGCGCTCACTGAGTTTATCACGTCAGACTGCGATACTTTCGGCCCGTTCAAGATGATACCAATATTCGGACACTTATTCACAGACGACTCATAGACTTCTGGCAACCGTGACAACTTCACCAACACATAATGGTATAGCCAGCGTTGTTTAAAATAGTGTCAACATATACAGATGCCTTATGGACGCATTCTTGGACTTGGGATGCATTCGTAACGTCCAGCTTTAACGAAGCCTGGCTGGCGCGCGCAGGGTGGCGGCATCCTTGTGGCCTATGTTCAATTATTGCTTCAACACTGGTTTGGGAATGAAGAGGTCCGTATCCAACGAGGCACATCCACCTAATTCCCATTCTAACGGACGAGGTAGTCGCTTGTTGAATGTGACATAATCGGTGGACACTCGAGACTGTAAGCTCGGTGGAGATCGCTAACTCTCTTCGCCTCACTCCATTACTGTACGCTTCGACGCTCGGAGACTGAAGTTGCTTTCTTCCAAGGGAGCAATGATAAAAGTCATCACTACCGTTGGGGGGCCATGAATGGGCCCGCGATCCTTGTGCGTTCCCAAGCTCCAGCACGGGTTCAAGTTGCCACCTCAAGGTCGATCGAGAGCAACGCCACTTTGCTGACATGCCATTGCAAGGCTACGAAGGATGATGGCTAAATATTTGAATGCCCGCCGACGACCGGTGTTGAGCTGAAGATGGACTCGTTACTTTCCTCTTTCAAATGCTAGTTCTTCTTGAGAAGAGATTCGGAGTGTGTCTTTCTTTCCGATAACATTTGAGCTGAACGTTCTAGACTATCCAGAATCCCATTGATACTTCTTTAATTGTCCTGATGGCCAAGCAAGGATTTCGAAACGAGTCGTACACCTCAAGAACAGAAAATGCCGTTGCATGGAAGCTGTAGTATTAGCATTGGATGTCAATTTTACCGCGCCTTACATATGACAGGGTCAGTTAACGTTGCACTGCATTTGACTCTTGGACTTCATCTCAAGTTGGTGTCCTTTGGCTTCCGGGCGTGTTTTGGTTCCACAGCTGGCCCTTGACCGGGTGGAGGTCGTCATAGAAGCTACGTACCCAATTCTGACCATATTGGCACGTTTGTCCATCGTCCTCTTGACTCAATCACACCTTTGGCAGGTGGTCTTGCTATTCTACACGTGTGGTCGGTAGGGGATATTGATACACAATCTCATGGACGGTCGTTGAATGCCAACGCCACTGGAAACTGACTCATATTCGATGGACATGGTTCCGTTTACAAACCAACGAAAATTTCACCGCTTAGGCGCTGGCACCTCGCAAGCCTACGAGGCCAGAGTCCCTAACGACTGATATTGGGACAGCTGGAACGATGGCCCTCCTTGCAGGTCGTCCAGAACACTTATATACTACAGTGGGCTTCGCAATCATTTATCGGTCCCTCAGATACTCAAGTCTGCAAGCATAACTATCACAATCTCCGCGTCATTACTATCATGTCGGGGGGCTTTCACCATTTCCAGATCAGCGGAGCACCTGAGCCGGAACCTGTGAGTTGTAAATCTTACATGATATCATTGCGATTAAATCAACGCCTGCAGGAAAGACATTTTATCAATGAAATGTTTCAGTGTTTCTGGGATTGTTACGCACCAGGATTGCATTGCAACGACCTCTTTTACGGTCACAATCTCTCTCATCATTTACGCGAGAGACATGGAATTCACGGGCCCGACAATGCCCGCGTTTTCTGCCAATGGAGATCTTGTAATACGGAGGTCAATAAGGAGAGTCTCGCGAGACATATCGAGGAAAAACACATGAAGGTTGTGCACCCGTGCGGCGTGTGCGGCAAACTATTCTCGCGCGGAGATACTCTCAACAGACACAGGAGAGAGAAGCAGCATTAAATAGGGTGTCTTTTGACAAGGGATCCTGTTCTATTTATCTGACTTCAGTTTAAGTATCTGTTGTCTATGTTGCTTCCGACGTACTTACTAGCTCTGTTTATCCTGGCGATATTATATTCTAGTTGAAGTACGAAACCCTATAACAAATTGATAGCAGTTTGTCAATTTTGCGAGTTAGACATGATGCATGACGGCCAGGCGGCTTCTCTTACTATGCGCACTATTGTGTAATTGTGTCTGACAGCGTTGCACGCCCCCATAGTCTGAGTAGTACTATGACATGATCGTCATTCTAATTGTAGCAATGGCGGCATGGCATCAACCTCATATCTGTATGTCTATAAATAGGTTAAACAGAAACCAAGCGGAAGAGGATCATTAGAGTACTAGTAGCTAATAGATAAACTGAAATAAAATACTCGACCAAAACTCATGCACATCTGTTGTCCTCTGAACACGCTCGATCTCTTTCAAATGGATCGAAGCAGGATGCAAATGTTTTACGGAAGATATCTCAACTTAAACCTAGTTTGTGATTACCGTGAAGAACGTGGCATCAAATTAGAAGTTAGTATAACCGAACCTCGGGATCAAGCTTCAAGCGCTCAAGTTTATCACGTCAGACTGCGATACTTTCGGCCCGTTCAAGATGATACCAATATTCGGACACTCATTCGCAGACGACTCATAGACTTCTGGCAACCGTGAAAGCTTCATCAACACATGATGGTATAGCCAGTGTTGTTTCAAATAGTGTCAACAAATACAATTGCCTTATGGACGCATTCTTGGAACCTGGGATGCATTTGTAACGTCCAGCTTTAACGAAGTCTGGCTGGCGCGCGCAGGGTGCCGGCATCCTTGTGGCCTATGTTCAATTATTGCTTCAACGTCCGTATCTAACGAGGCACATCCACCTAATTCCCATTCTAACGAACGAGGTAGTCGCTTGTCGAATGTGACATAATCGGTGGACACTGGAGACTGCAAGCTCGGTGGAGATCGCCAACTCTCTTCGCTTCACTCCATTACCGTACGCTTCGACGCTCGGAGACTGAAGTTGCTTTCTTCCAAGGGAGCGATGATAAAAGTCATCAATATCGTTGGGCGGCCATGCATCCATGAATGAGCCCGCGATCCTTGCGCATTCCGAATTTCCTAGCACGAGTTCAAGTTGCAACCTCAAGAGCAACGCCACTTTGCTGACATGCCATTGCAAGGCTACGAAGGACGATGGATGGATATTTGAATGCCCGCCGACGACCGGTGTTGAGCTGAAGATGGACTCGTTACCTGTCCTCTTTCAAATGCTAGTTTTTCTTGGGAAGAGATTCGGAGTTACAAAACGTTCGATTTCGCGGATGGATTGCAATTGAGGATGTCAAATTTCCTGCATTTATTATGATACCTCTCGGAGTAGTAAGTAGCAGGCGTCTGCAGAGCCCTTTTGCTGCTTCGGGCTACTTTTGGACTGTACACGAGCGCTGATGGTGACCCTTTTTGCTAGTAATTTTTGCAAGGCCATAGACCCTTCAGCAAAAACTGTAACCCCAGCAACGATTAGGATTCACAGGTACTCGTGGAGCTGGCAGGAGTATTTCCCAGGTTCCGAATCTTGATTCGTCGATATTCTCCCCTGGTTCGATGGATCTCGATGCAGGTTCGAGAACGGTCTACGACGATCTCGTTACCATTTTCCCGGAAGTCAGTTAACACGGGCATATGAGACTGCTGGGACAATCGCGCACATTCATAAGCTGATGATCCCTTTCACCATGTACAAGTTTCTTCTCTCTCAAGTCCAATGTAACCTTGCATACACGCTTACAACGTTTGGCGGCGGCGACAAGGTGGCCTCTAGAAAAGCTTCTGGTCGTTCTAACTTCGTAGTGCGGGAGAGTTACTTGCCTCACGATGCGCAAACTCGGGTCAAGGGTCTGTCTGCGGGGATGCGAATTCACGGTCAATATTGTAGGGAGATTCTGGGAGAAGCTCGACCTATTATTCTCAACTGAAATCGGCTGGGGAACCAGCAATGCTTACCTGCAGATTAGGTCTTTTGTACGTCCCTCATAGACCACTCCGAGATAGTGCTGCTTCAATGTAACAACTTGATCTAACAGGCATTTATGGAGAGCATCTTGCATCGTTTGGGGCGTGTAGTCGCAGTGGCATGGCGGTGCCTTTTTTTTCCCCAAAAAATAACAGAGCTGATTGAACCGCCACAGTTCCGTCGATGCTGTATCTGATGGTTTTGTTAACCAGGGAGGATATGATAAAAGCGGGATTGCCTCAAGAACCTAGCGTTAACGCGTAAGTGAAGCGTTGACGCCCCGATAACGTCAACGGTCAGGGACTAACTTTACCACGCGCATTGTATGCAATCTGAAGTTTTTTTATTTATTTTCATTTCCTTCCTGGTTTGAAATACGATATCTGCACACCTCCATTAGCTTCTGGTTAATCCGCAGCCGGTCATTGGCCAGTCGATGGGTGGCATAGAAGTACTTCTAGTCTCGGTATGGCACATCGGCCTTCCCTCAACCAAGTCACACTTTTTCGCGGATGGAACTTACTTCTCTGGCTTTCTGCAATCATGCACGCGTACTCGCCAGCGACATCGATACTCGTGTATGACGCGCTTTGCCGAATGCCAAGGCCATTGGCAACTGACGCTTATTCTATGGTTGTCTTCTAACCAATCGGAAACGTTTGCAGCCCGAGAGGTAACTTCCTGGCACCCCACCAGGCTGCCAACCCATGAGGTTCGGGGCTTTTTGTGAACGGTGCCCTCCCCCAAAAATTCATCTATAAAGCCCCCTGTTAAACGCTTCAATCTGAAGCAGATACACTTGTCACAACCATCGCCTCCCGCACCTATATGTCGGACAACCTCGCAAGCAACGACTTTGTTTTCTTAGAGCCTGAGCCTGTAAGTTTCGACTCCCCAGACAAGGCATCATAACCATCAAACTGACTTTCACAGTCGGGCTATACTTTTGAGCAGATGAATGAGTGTCGATGGAGCAGACCAGATGGCTCGCACTGCAGCTACCCATTTTTTGGCCACGAGCTTTCTGCTCACCTCCGTGAATACCATGGAATTCGTGGTGGAGACAAGTTGCGCGTCCGTTGCTCTTGGGAAGATTGCACCAAAGAGCTCAATAAAGGAAACCTCTCAAGGCACGTGGAGGGAACACACCTCAAGGTCGTATATCCTTGCGGCACCTGCAACAAGACTTTCACGCGCGAATACAATCGTAACAATCACCAGGCAATTTGTTCGGTTCAGCAGCAGTAGATGTGAGACCTGGTCATCACCTTCCTCGCATACGCCTGACTGATTCGCTATTTCAGCGTTGTTTCGGTAGTCTCATAAGTTGAACAGATGCCGGAAGAAATTCAATGGCGTTCGAGGTCTTCATGCTTGACTCGCTTGAGTAGTTCTTGTCTTCCTCACTTCAGCTCGTGCTTCTATGAATTTGTATACTCGAGCTCCATGACATTTACGTTGGTGATAAGACGTATTAGTTACCATATTTTAAAGTTGCATGTTCCACGACAG